CCAGCACAGTGTTTTAAATGCTAGCTTTCTAGTACAACTTCAGGTCAGATAATATCATCTTCCAACTTTGTTCTTGGTTAGAGTTTTTCGGTGAGGGTACGTTCTTTGCATTTTCATGTTATTTGTCACAGTTATATTTTATAATGTTATCACAAATACTGGATCATTGTTCCTAGAAAACATTAACAGATATACTCCCATGAGCCTCTGTTCATAGCATCGCTGTCAACTAATCCATAGACAACTTTGTTTCATGTGTCCCCCACCTCCCCTCCTCTCTCCGCAATATGCAGGACTGAACCTAGGGAGTGCAGAGCTACATCCCATGCCCTTTTATTCTTGTGCGACAAGGTCTCACTAAGTTGCCTAGACTATTTTAGACCTTGGACTCTCCTGCCTCACCCTCCCAAATATCTGGGATTACAGGCATTCACCACCTTGCCTGTCATGTGCATTTGTTTTGAAGACTCACACCTAAGTGAAGCTTATCTAATAATGTATTTCCTCCAATGAAATACATGAGAGTCTTCTCAGGCTTGGGGACACTACAAAGTACTTAGTACTATGCTGGAAAGCCACTTTAAACAGCAAAATCATGACAGCACAGAAGTATGAGAGCATGGCCATAAGTGTCCTCTATAAGGAGGACAATTATTTCCAAGGGTACTTCCTGCCTTGTTCCACCTCAGCTAGGAATGTTCACATTGGGTGACTCAAAATTTTTACTGCTCTGTGTATGTCTGTTAATGACTGTAAAAGCACCCCAAGTATTGATTTTGGGGTTACAGACATATTTTATCACATAGGTGAAATGAGAATTATGAAATCCATGAATGATGAGGAACAATTATAGTTTTTATCATCGACTTGTCAATTTCTACAAAAGAAAAATGTGTTGAGAAGTCTTAATGAGTATGGACAACAAGTCTTAAAATCAAATTACATTTTGCATATATTTTAATGAGTAAATGCTACATCCGTAATTAGCTTTAGCATTTGTAAAACTTCATCATTTAAGAGATTTTTTCTTTTTCCTAGAATTTTAACTGAAATGTATACACTGAAACTGTGCCTTTAAATACTTAAACTCTCTTCTTGTTAGTACTTGCTTACAGTACACTCTGGTAACCTTCACCATGGGGAATATACACATGTCCTAACACATCTTCATTTCTTTTTTGCTCCCTTCTCCACCCTGCTCTTAAAACATTTCCCCTCTCCACATTTCCAAAAAAACTCTATTTCCATTTTTTTCCTTCAACTCTTTTAAAAATCCTTTTTATCTTCCCCTTCTCTCCTTTCCTATCACTTTGCCCTCCTTTCCCACTAAGTACACAGCCCACTGGGTGAAGATGAGCTTGCCATGCTTTTAAATCATACCACATGGACTGTCTAGAAATCTGATTAAATCAAAGTAACTTCAGAGGGACATTTTCCAGGAAGAAAAATACATACAAATCGTTGGAGTTCAAGCACTGGAGCAGGTGAGCCTAAATATTTCACACCATAGAAAGAGCATTTTTTCTTAAACTATAATAAATTAGTATTAAAATACTATACATTTTAGATATTTGATGAAATAGCTAATGATGATTTGTTTCAAAGAGAAAATTAAGGCAAGTATAATCTGGGCATGGTGGCATATGCCTGTAATCCCAGCACTGCAGAGGCTGAGGCAGGTGGATCTTCATGAGTTCGAGACCAGCCTGGGTTACAAAGTGAGCTCAAGGCCAGCCTGAACTGCACAGCAAGACCCTGTCTCAAAAAAGATTAAAAGAAAGAAACAAAAAGTATAGATTTCTCATAGTGTGGATTTTCATAATGTGAAAAAAAAGCATACAGAAAACATTATTGCTTATATTCTGAACTACAGTAACCACTCACAAAGTATCAGCTTATTAATATGAAAGATTAAATAAAAATACACATACACAAGTCTTCCTTACATAAACACTCACTATTAAGAAGGGTTTATTTAGAAAGAAGCAGTCTTGAAGAAGGAAGGAGAAAAGATATATTATATTATATATATATTACAGGGTAGCTTGGATAATTGTAGTACTGATTTATGCTGGTTTATTGAAAGGAGCAATTAATGCTTAATTTTTTTCTTCTCCTTTTTATTTTCTCCTTACTTTTTTCCACTTTTGCATGCTTATATTTGGTAACCTTAGCAAATAATCTGAAGACAACACTATAAAATACTGTTAATAACCATTGTCGAATTTTTATTATTTTGGTGTAGTAAAATTCTGCATCTTTTTTTTTTTTTTTATTTTATATTCTCTTTTGAAAATGAAATAAAAAATAAAAATGTTGAAGAACAAGAGAATTTAAAGTTGGTCCTTGCGGTGAGCAGGCAGGCATTTAGACTGCTGAGATATCTCCCTAGCCTCAATAGTATTTTTATTTACTATTTTGTATTCACTTTTTAAAAATTAAAAAAAAAAAAAGAAATTCTGAAAGAGACAGTTTTCACCATGCGTTTCATGGTAACTAGTGCTAAACTGGAAATACTTACTCTTTGTATCATCATTTTTAAGTTGCTCTTTTCTTTCACAAAATGATCTTGCTCTCTCTGAGCCTGCTGAACAATGTGATTCGCTTGCTTTTTTAATGCAGAAATTTTCTCCTGAAAGAAAAAAGATGATCACAAGAAGATGCACATTAGATACTCAAGAACGCCAGTCTGCCTTCTAAACAGCGGGTTTTGGCTTTCCCGCTGTTATCAATCGTGACCACGGTTCATTTGTTGCTGGCCAATCCTTAGACTCAGAAACCATGAAGCGTTTACTTTGACCTGCAAGGTTCAATGCTTTTCTTTTTCCCTTGGTTTTCAGGTTTTGATTTTTTTGCGGTAGGGTGTTGTTATGTAGTCTCAGCTGGACTTGAAATTGCTATCTAATCCATTCTATGCTTGAATTCACAATCCTCTAGCTTCCCTGAGGCTGGGTGATGGGATGCATCATACTACTTAACTCTCAGCACTTTTATTTAAGTCCAACATAGTTCAAATGACTTAAAATCTATTTCAGAGGACCCAGAATTCAAGAGGAAATACTGTTTTAGTCTATTAATGAATTTTTGACATTAGGTTAGGAGGTGCCTGAGGGGAAGAAAACACAGAAATTTTTTATTTAAATGGAATGCTTTGAAGTCTATTTCCAGGGTTGGCAAGATAGCTCAGTGGACTAAGTGCCTGCTTAGGCAAATGCAGGGACCAGGGTTTGATTCCCAGCAGCACATGCCATACCAGCTCTGCCCCCTGGCACAATGAGCTGGCCACCAAGACTGGGCATGGTGGCACATGCCTGTAATCCAAGCTCTAAGGAGGCTGAAAACAGGAGGATCACTACAAGTCTGAGCTGCATAGTGAGACCCTATACCAAATATATAAATTAAAAAGTCAATTTCCTACCTTTTCTTTCCTCCATCTTATTACTTAATTTTATCAGGTTAGTAAGGAGTTCTAGGATGTGATACTAAATTCTGGAAAAGCTCAATTCTGGGCTGGCCATTCAGGAGCTATGGGCTGGATGGCCTTTGTAATCACACTGGCATTCTCCTGGGCTATTTCTATTGGTATCAGCTGGCTTTGGAAATTACTGCGCTATGCAAACAAAATTCCAAAGCAGGCTTTGTTCACACAACTATGCTGAATTTACTTACTATGTTTATAAAAGGAAGTAATTTAAAGCAAGTATCTGAGTTTCTGATTTCTATTATTTATTTATAAATGAAAAAATTTGGTATTTTTCCATAAATGCATGCACAACATTATACAACAATGACTATAACTCATCTCACTTTATCTAGTTCAGAACACCACTTACTATCCTATATATGGCAGGATCCATCGTTTGTCAAATGTGGTATGATTAAACACATTAAAATATTCAGATACAAAATTAGACACACACTATATGAATGATCAGATTGGCACATGGTAAGGAATATATTTTGATTTTTTTCCACTAAACATCACCTGCCCAAGGTACCTTTCTGCTGACGATGTTCCGCTGGTATTCAGCCACTTCACGCAGGAGCTGCTGAGTTAAATTCTCCTTTTCCTCATCCAGACGGCTCTCATGTTCCAGCTGTTGGAATTCCAGGTCTTCAAAGTGTTTGCTTTCAACATCCAACAGGTCAGCGTCCTTTGGAGGACAGGGAGTGAGAACAAGGTAGGCCAGGATGGCTGTAATCATCTTAACTGGAGAAACAATTACTAAAAGCAGTCAGTCTCCAGCACCAGCAGGGGTAGGGCGTGATGGAGCCCAACTACAGAGAGGAATGGAGAGGGTACCGTGGAGAGGGCAGCAAGAGCTTACCAGAACTCTGTGCCTGCCTGGTGCATGTAGGAAGTCTTACTTTAACCTAGTAGGTGGATTTAGATGCATAGTGAAGCATAAAAACAATTCAATGAAGAGCATGAGAATTATCTTCATCCAAAGGATGAAGATGAGACATAAGCTCTTAAGAAAATTCCTCTTTCCTACAATTTTCACATGAAATATGCAATGAAACTTCACTGTGAGTTTAAAGATTCAAAAATTAGCACATATATATGAGGTCTCGCATGGGAATGAGAAAGTAAACTATCAGACTTTCTATATATGTTTGGTTTTCATTTTCTTCTCTAAATTTCTTAATAAATGCCTTCAAATGTGCATTCCAGAATTATACATACATAATTTTCTCCTTAAGTATTTGTAATACAAATTATGTATCACATGCAAAGGATATGCATGCTCAAATAATTTTATTGAAGGGATAAGCAATCAAACACCTTTGGACAGAGCTGGGGATGGAGCTCAGTGGTACAGTGCTTGACAAGCATGTACCAGGCCCTGAGTTCAATCCCCAATACCACAAATCCAAAAATAAAACAAAACAAAAAGATATTCGAACATAGGCTTTGGGTGATAATGATGTGAATTACAGGTTAAGTAACTGTGACCAAGGACCACTGGAGTGGAAGATACATGCATGGAGTGTACAGAAAATCTCTGGTTCTTCTGCTCAATTTTTGTGAAACCTAAAATTGCTCTTAAAAGAAAAAATATATATATGAAAACCATTACGAGATGGAAGTTTTTAAACTGTACTTCTTTGAGGCCATTAAAATTATTTACAAATCTATTTACTGGAAAGAGTAGCCTAAGTTGTTTTCTTCAGGCACAAAAGGTCATTCAAAAAGCTAAGCACTGGGGCCGGGGAGATGGCTCAGTGGAATAAGCGCTTCCCTGGCAAGCGCAAAGGCCTGAGTTCAATCCCGGGTTCCAAAAAAAAACAAAAAAAAAAAAAAAAAGGAAAGCTAAGCACCACTGTCCTGAGAAGGCTCTGGAGGACACTTTAAAAAGGTCAGAAGTCCCCCCCAAATCAGATGATGATGGTCTAGAATAAGCGCTCCCTGACCCATGAGATACTTGGAAACCAGAATCAATTTGTGCATCTGCATTCAGGCGAAGGTAGGTACGTGTTATATAAAGTATTCTTCAATTCACCCTTTAAAAAGCCCATCTCTTCAATTTTGGAGCCTCCAACAGAATTATATATGTGGTACTGTAAAACAGCTTTTAAATTATAATTTACAGATGATCAATACCAAAATGAAAAGGCAGTTGGGCAATGTAACCAACAATTTCTACATAGTTAAAAGAGATATCTTGTTGTTCAATTAAATCTTCAAAGACTATTAGATAAATAATGGCATAACAAAACAGTTCTATCTCTACTCAGCTTCACCCTCTTCTGATTTTCATTCTATTTTAGCAATGAATTTTATTCTAAGGATGATATAGGAAACGGCTATTAGCTGCCATAAGGTCTCAATCTACGATGAAGATTATTATGTAAGGTGGACTAGATTCTTATAATTTAAAAGCATAAAAAACATGATTTGAAGAACCTAAAAAAAAAGGAAAGAAGAGCCTATTCCACATTTCTTAAAATCTCTTAACCTTTTATTCAACTTTAAAAAGTGTGGTCTTGATTTTATGTTTGGGGCTAATATTTCCAGTTTGTCAAGGTATTTCAAGTTTATAATTTTTCAGGACTTAGTTCATCAGAGGAATTAAGAAATGAAGAGTTTTAAGTGTTGCATATTGAAACAAAATTTCTGCAGTCTTGAAATAACGTACCAGCCAGTGCATTCATTCACAGAGCACACACACCCAAGGTTTCAAGGTTTTTCAATTAAGCTTAGTTTGCAATCAAAGATCATTACGAAAAAATTAATAAGCCTCTTTTGGCTTTTAAATAAACTTCATCCTATTTGGGCGTAAGGCTCCTCATATTCACCATGCTGGCCCACTGCTTATTCTATATCTGATTAATACGTAACATATGTTATTTTAACCCAGCAGGAAGACCAAAGTCAATAATTTACTTGTAGTAAATATTTAAACCACTGAATGAAAATAATTGCACACTGGGAAGAAAAGTTGAAAATTAAGCTAAGAACAGAACTCAAGATTTTGCTGGCATAATCATCTGATCAAGCCACCCAAACCATTAAAATATGTATATAGAAACTTACACTCTTAAAGAAAAGCGATTTAAGAGGGGAATAAATCTTTTAAAAGATTTTAGATATGAACAAGAATTCAAGGAATGTAATTTGGAGACACAAATAGCTTAATTGTGACTAAATAATACACACAGGATGCTCAAAGTCAAATACACTGACCAGCTGAGTGGAGTTAAACTAATCTCACTCTGCACATATCTACTGATTAATAAACTCAAAGCCCAGGCACAAAACAAAACAAAACACACATGCACTAAAAATATTCTATGCGTTACTTTTTTTTCTTTTTTTTTTTTTTTGGCAGAACCGAGGATTGAACTCAGACCCTTGTGCTTGCCAGGGAAGCGCTTATTCTACTGAGCCATCTCCTCGGCCCCTACGTTACTTCTTTATTTCCAATAATTTTTTTGAGATTGGAAGACAGAAGTTTAGATGCAGATTTTTATATTTTCTTTGCCTAATGGGACAAGAAGAAGAGAACAGTTACACTAGGGCAGGAATGACTGTGGAAATAATCTCACGATCTCTGGAAGCAAATGTAGAGGAGATTCATGGTTTGTTAACTCATCTCCATCTTTTGCTTGATTGCCAGCCACTGTAAGCTTCTGAAATATGGCACAAGACAATAATACAGCCTCCTGCTTTACATGTGAGGCTATTTAGGCCCACAGAAATTTAATGACTTTTCCAAGCCTAAAGGATAAACTGATTTTAGGGCCAGTGATCTAAAAGTGGTCTACTTGTTGTATCACTACATACAATTTTTTTTTTTTTTTTTTTTTTTTGTATTTAGTACAGGGTCTACAGGGTCTCACTATGCAGATTGAACTTGTAGTGATCTGCCTGTGTTCAGTCTCCCAAGAGCTGGGATTATAGGCGTGCACCACCACGCCCAGTCTCAATCACCATCTCAGTACACCCTGGGGGTGGGGCTGGCACTGTACACCAGGGATCGAACCCAGGCTGCTGCTCTCTGCCTAAGCAGGCTCTGCATACGCAGGTGCTTTAGTAGAATTTGTTTTTAAATCAAGAGATCTAAAGCAACAATTCAGTTGAGCAAATATCAGAGGCAAAAGAAACTTCCCCAGCCAGGTACCTGCCTTCTCCACTTAACCACATCCTGGCAAATGAAAGACTTAAATTCAGCTCCCTTTTCTGCACTGGTACAATGCCAGCATTGATGAGTCCATACTGACTACACAATAATTGTATGTACAGAAGTTAGTATGAGCTAAAAATTATACTTAAAGATCTAAAGGAATGATTTAGAGGTTAAGAAGTCCAGCCATAAGAATATAATGTTTTGGGCCACAAAATATAGTGTCTGCCTAGCAAGCACAAGATCGTGAGTTCAATTTCCAGATATATATATATATATATATATATATATTATATGTGTGTGTGTGTGTGTATGTGTTTTATACACAAGACCATCACATAATTTCAGCCTAAGTATTTAGAAAAACGTGAAGTTTATGAAAGTAATTTTCATCCTGTTCATTTATTTTTTATTTTACGTGATTTGCCACCCGTTTATTTATCAAATGTAATAAAATAAATTTGTATTATATATATTTTAAATGCTTTCAAGAAAGCTTTGTAATGAAGTGGTATTAGGAGGAGTTTGAAATCTGAAGAGAAATGAATTGCGACAACATATGAAGCTCCTAGTATGCATGGACTTCCTGTGAATTTTTATTGACTAAGCCTTGCAGTTGGTGAATAGTTACACTGGTCTTCATCCCTGGAAAATAACGTTGGCAGATATTTTATTATCAGGTGGGTAGAAGCTACAATAACCCTTTTATTGCTGCCTATGGAATGCAGTATTATGATTTTTAAAAGGAGAATAAAAAACAAAAGCCATACAGAATTTCACTAAACTAGATAAGAATTCCAACAATGGTTGTTGTATTGCATATTGTTGCCTTCAAATTAGTTGTTCAGATTACCAGAGATAATCATGCAAAATTGGTCAAAAAAATTAAGAGAAAGAAAAAAATTTAAGCACTAACTGTTTGTTTGAATAGACCATAGAAATCTGCACTATATGACTGTAGCAATCAGCAGTGCAGCCGTCCCGGCTATCCTGTGCATACACATAGAAGAATTTTATACCCCGCTTGAAGGGGAGGTTGAAGGAGTCTTTGCCTTCATTCAATGGAACAGACTGTCTTCCACATTTCCTAGTCTACTTTATAGTCAAAATCCTTAGAGAACACATAAATCTGTGAGTTTTCCAACAGAATCCAGATCATACAAATAGAAAGTATTTATAGCCACCTGAGTCCAGGTTATTAACAAGACTCTCCTGGCTTCTTTTTTTTTTTAAATTAATTTATTTATTATTTATTTGTTTTTTTTTTTAAATTTATTTATTTATTTGTGTGTGTGTGTGTGTGTGTGTGTGTGTGGCCAGCTCAGCCCACCAGGGGGTGGGGCTGGCTGGCATGTGGTGCTGGGGGATTGAACCGCGGTCCCTGTGCTTTGCTAAGCTTGTTCTAAGTAGGTGCTTTAGACCACTGAGCCATCTCACCAGCCCCTTTATTATTTATTTGTGTGTGTGTGTGTGTGTGGCCAGCTCAGCCCACCAGGGGGCGGGGCTGGCTGGCATGTGGTGCTGGGGGATTGAACCGCGGTCCCTGTGCTTTGCTAAGCTTGTTCTAAGTAGGTGCTTTAGACCACTGAGCCATCTCACCAGCCCCTGGCTTCTTCTTTTGAAACAATGTTTACAAAGAACACAACAACTAGGGAAGAGGAAGCAGAAAACATATAGCCACAATAAAGACCTTGAGTAGTAAGGCAGAATGAAGACAGTAAACAAATAGAAAATCCATGCTAGGCCTGGTGGTGCACAGCTGTAATCCCAGAACTCAGAGCTCAGGCAGGAGAATCACTGGGAGCTGGAGGCCAGCCTGGGCTACAGTGCAAGATCCTATTTCAAAAAATATATGTTTTCTATATGAATGTAAAACTATATAACTTATCTACCTATCTTATCTATACTGAGAAAGAGAAAGAGACAAGGAGAGACAGAAGGAGAGGGAGAAACAGAGATAGAGAGAGATTCCACTTTTCCTATCTGTTGTGAACTGGAATGAACACAATTATGAACTAAAATAATTTAACACATACTAGTCTTTTCCCAATCATTTGTAGCACAAAATGTCTAGAGAATTAGGACACCAAAAATTAGGAGATTTTATCTTCCTACAGCCAATTCAGCTTTAGGAATGAAAATGAATAACGAGGAAGACACACTATTGAACCTTCCTTTGCTTCAGTGCGGTAAGATAACCAGTAAACTGTTATGCTGCCATCTCACCTGTCCACACGGGGAGACCCTCTAGAGTGCTCGCTGTAACTGTAATTGGTTATTGTCTAGCGATGCTCTCAAGCATCAAGTGTTTTTATATTAAAGGTCACTTAAACATTTTTCAAGTTTGTTGTCTACCCAGTTTTGCAGCCTGCTCATTTGCTAGAGGGCATAGACAAAACCTGAATGAAATTAACCTTGTTGACTGATATGAAATCATAAATCATGACTCACTCAGGACACATTACTAGTGCTCGATCCCTTCAAGTTCAAGACTGCGAAGGACTGATTCTCTGGGATCGTAGTGGCTCAGCGGAAACAATTCAGTTATCAGGTGGCGAAGAAAAACTAGTCATGCCAGTGTCTGTTAAATTATCCACGTACGAAGTCTTCTCTCAGAAGATAACCAGCATGATCATATTAAATGCTCCCAGAATTAGGGATAGGAGAAGAAGCAGATAAGCTTTAACTGGAAGGTATATGTGGCAATAAGCTTTTAAAATGTAGGGTGTTCATACGAGAAGGGCATGTAAGATGCCCTCTTCTGGATCTCAGTGTTTGCCTGCCATAGTCATACTTGTGCCTACAATATCAATAAGCAGCAGAGGGTTGGTGAGATAGCTCGGCAGTCTAAGTGTCTGCCTGGCAAGCACAAGGACCCAGGTTTGATCCCCAATAACACACACTGTGCTGGCTCCGAAACCAGCTATGGTAGCGCACACCTGAAATTCTAGCACTAGGGAGGCAGGAGGATCAATACTAGTCCAAGCTATGTAGTGAGACCCTGTACCAAATAAATAAATAAATAAATAAAAGCAGGAGAAAAAATACCCACAAAAACAAGTGGTAATGTGGGCAAATCACTACAAATCAGAGAATAGGATAATTCTTAGGAAAGGATAAAAAGTCAGGTTAGGAAACATAATTCAAAGGCAACTAGTACTTACAACACAACAAAGATTACGAGGAAAGATGTCAATTGACTTAAATGCCACAGCCAAGCTATCATGCCTATATCTTGTACTCTGAATAACTGCTGCGAAGACAACAATATGCAATGCATTAATCATTGTAACTCTCCTACTAATCTGTTTTCAAACCCTATTTTATTGTTATTTTTATTTTTTTCTCTTAAAATAAAAGAAATATAAATGCCAAAACCTTGGTGTCTGTTAGAAGTCTTACTTCTAAAGACCAACCCTAGAAGTACTTTTGCACTATAAATTAGAAGAATTCTAATAAGGAATGTTTAACTGATTAGCACAGAACAATATATACTATTAGCAGCTATATTTTATTTTAAAAGTGTCAAAGGACTAGAACTTATGCAAATTTATGCTATGTGAAGCAGTAAGTCACAGGTACATGGAACTTAATAAGAAACAAAACAAAACAAAATAAAACAAAAAGAAGTGATGCATTCCTGTTTGCTACTGACCCTCTTCAGTTGTTGCTGCAACTGTTCCCTCATGGACTCAGGACAATTGTCCAGCTGGGTCTTCTGCTCGGAGTAAAGCTCCTGAAGCCTCTCTAGTTTTTCCCTTTCAGCATCAAGCTTTACCTTCTCCTGAAGTTCAGAAATCAAAAAATAGAAGAATAGCAATTACCTTTCACACCCAGGCAGGTGCCAGTGAACATTTCCAAAGGATAACACAAACATACACAAACTCTACATGGGCTACAAATGATTAATGACTAAGTTAAAGGGACATAAATGGAAGTCAACACAGGAGGACACAATTCTGCATTCCAAAGTACTTCATTGCCCTGGGCCTTCCACCATTCTTGCCTCCATGTTACAAAGGCAAGGGAAGCAACAAGATGGAATACTGGTCAGGGGCTAAGATCAACAACAGAAGACGCCAACCAAATTCATCAATGAACTTTGAAAATGGTCACTTGCTAGAGAACCAAACAAGGCAAAAGTGCTACTTGTTTACCTCAGGTACTATCATGGTCCAACTTCCTTGAGGCTTTTTCTAACAAGTTTGAGAAATTAGGGAAATTTGTTCCCCAGTCAGAGGAACTTTGATGTACTAGTCACTTATCAATATCCAAGTCACTTCAAATGGTTCTACCATTTGGAAAGTGTGAGGGTCTAAGCAACTAATAAATTTCATTCCAAAGAGTGCTTCTAATTCAAAGGTTAGAAAGGCTGGTACAAGTACAACACTACCAAAGTAGCCAGGAAAAAAGCAGATCAGAGAGCCCAGACTCATCAAAACCATGACACTAGGATACATGGGTTTAAAATGAAGGGCATAAAGAAATAAATTAATTTAAACATAACTGTGAAATATAGAAAAGATACCCAGGAGCCCCAAAAAGGAAGAGAAAGAAGATAATGTTAATTCCCTCCCTAGTCACACATGCCACTGACCCTGGACATTCACCAGGATATAAAGGTAAAACACTATCACCTTCTTCTCAGCTTTTGGTCATGTTATGATGCTCTAAACATTTTACATTTTAGGCTTAACTGCCTAAAATCATGTGTAATGTTTTTAGCGTAAAGAAAATATTTTATGATGATTTGACCTTCACAAAGTAAAACTGCCACTTTCCTATGTTCCCTTTATGCAAATTAGTAAAAATAAAACCACTTAATCTTAAGCACATAGCAGAATGACTTTTTTAAGGATGAATCTCTAAAATAGTCCAATGAAATCATCCTTCCTATAATGTCTTTATCTAAATGGCCATGATTACCTATGGGAATACACACACTGCTGACCAAAAATGTTATTGTTTAATCTGTAATTAACCTGTTTAACCTGTAAATTCACTTGCACCTCCATGTTTGATTTAATTTTTAAATTCCAAGAGTATTTTAGAAATATATATAGATAGATAGATAGATAGATAGTATTTTTTTACTCAAAAATCATTAAATCCAGACATCACAGAGTTGTGAATACTACTTCATGCAACAGTACAAAACACTGTACAATAACTTAAACCTTAACAGTCCATAAGTAAAGTTTCTTCAATTTCTTAACAAAACTAAGTTTGTTCACTGTACCCATCACAGGAGCTGGAGAAAGCATGTTAGAAAAAAGAATTCTCAAGTGTTAATCCATAGTAAGACTGCATATACCATACCTATTAGATTTGGTCCTTAGTTTTAAAGTTTTTCTTTTAATAAAACTAGCAATACATCAGAAAATGTGTTATTTCCCACATAGGTATCAAAGGTTGTCCAATTTACACATAATTTTATACTAAGTGAGTTCTATTTCTGGAGAGCTTATCACCAGACTTCCAACAAATGCAGCTCTGATCAGAAATTAAAAGATTTTTTTGGCTAGTTCAGGCTGCCTTAAGTGAGAGTGTGGCACGGCTTGTGGAGCTAGGGATCAAATCATGGTCCCCCAATCCTGACTATTTGCCCAAGTGGCACTTTAAACAACTGAGCTAACCAGCAAGCCCCCTATGAGCAGAAATTTAAAAAAAAAGAGGGCTGGGAAGATAGCTAAGTGGCATAAGTGTGTGCCTGGCAAGTACAAGGCCCTGAGTTCCATCTCTAATTTGAAAAGAAAAAAAAAAAAAAAAAGAAAATTACTGAAGGCAATTAAATAACATATATGCAAAGTCCTATAATGTAAAATTATGTGTGACAGAAAATACTGATATAATATGAGGTAATACGGAAAGAAAGCCACTGTTCTATAACAGAATTCCCCAAAACACAAAAGTACCAAACTATTGCTCCAAGGCACTCAATTTTTTTAAATGCAAATAATAAATACAACTGAACAACTAGTGAACAATACCTTATGTTTACATAATGCCTTCCTTCGAAGATGCTCAAAACGTTTCACAATTCCATACAAAGGGGCAGCGAAAAGAATAACGCAAGCAGGCACCATCTGAACCTTCAGCAGCTTCTCTGACTTAGCAGCAATACTCTGACCACTGCCTGGGTCTCAAGAGCAAAAGCTGAGTAGAACCAAAGCTAGGGCCAAGGAAGCATGCGGGGAAGGAAGAAAGAAGACCGGTGGCAGGTGGGCCGCCTCATAAATCAGAGGCCCACAGAGGTGAGATCAGGAGAGTGAGAGCCAGAAGTAGAACAGCTTAGAGCCAGAAAGAAATTAATACTCCTCTCTTCTATTCATTGCCCAGGAAGTTTTCAAAGGCAAATTAGCTAGAGGAAGCATTTCACTAGAGTCCCAAAGTACCACCTTCTACAGTGAAGTTAAAATACATGGCATTTGAGAATTCGGGATTCTTGCTTTTTACACAGGAAATTGTAGAACTGAGTGTTACTGCCTTTCCGTAGATTAAAACTGGTAAGCTCATCTGGTCTATTATGGACACAGTGACATTTGCCAGACACGAAAGGAGATAGTTTAATGTCTATTTTAAGGATCATAAATTTTTAAGAAATGAATGAATTTGAATGCATTTTTAGTGAACTTAACAAATTCTACTTGATTGAAAAAATAAAATCAAAGGGAATTGGATGACTTCAGTGAAATTCACATGTACACAGGGGTATTTATAAAACCAGAAAACAGAATGGGCCTTCCTAGAGATAAGGTGCCGCCAGGAGCACTGCTCAGGCATGGACACATCTTCTCTCCACGTGCCAGCCAGGGCCCACTGGGGCATACATGCATTGCTAGGTGCTGTCTTGTTTGTTTAAGGCCGATGGTCCTAAAGTTCCACATTTATAAAGGACAATGATAAATTAGGCATGAGTAAATTATGGTGGAAATCCATATGTAAAACTAGAACTATACAGTTGTCTTTCAGTATCTTGCAGATATTGGTTGTAGGACACTCTAAGATACCCAAATCTGTAACATTCAAGTCTGATATATAAATAGCTCACTATTTCATATAACCTATACTCAACTTGTTGTATATTTCACACCATTTCTAGGTTATAGCAATTTAAGCACTGTATAAATAGTTGTTACACTGCAATATTCAGAGACTAATGACAAGAAAAATTCTGTATATGGTCTCTACAGATATACATTTTTTCAACATTTTCAATCCTTCCTTAAATCTGTGGCTACAGAATCCATGGGTACAGATAGCCAGCTACTTTTGCCTTTCTAGTTAGTTGTTTGTTTATTCAGTACTCAATAAAGCTTAAAACAGGACTACAGGTAAAAAAAAGACCATAGAACTTGATCGCCCAACTTGTATGGCAGTTGGTTAGCTCTGTGGTGCCCACACCTGACTGCACATTAGAATAAACCGAGAGACCTTTTACATATGCTATTTCCCAGGATCTAACTTAATCACAAATCCAAGGACTTAAGGAGATTTGAAAAACATTTTCAAGTTTTCCACTATGAAGCCAGGTTGAGAATTGCTGACTTAGACAATCAGGATTATGTGAGACAAAAATGATTATGTATATATTTTTTTCTAACTCTTTCAGGTTCTTACATTAGCAAGACAATGCAGTATCTACACATGGTAGGTCTGATTTATTTCACTGATAAGTATGGTCTGTAGTTGCATTCATTTACCTATAAAAGCCTTGAGTGTATCTTTTAGCTGAGTAATACTTCACTGTGTAAAAATAGTACATCTTTTCAATCCATTCCTCAGTTGATGGGCACTTGGGTTGTTTCCAAGATTTAGTTATGACAAATTGTGCTGCTATAAACATGGGTATACACATATCCCTATGGCATGATGCTTTCAGTTCTGGAAAAATACACAAGAGGGGAATATCTGGATTCAATGGAACCTCTAATCCTAGTTTTTTGAGGAATCTCCACACTGATTTCCACAGTGGTTGTACCAGTCCGCACTCCCACCAACAGTGAAGAAGAGTTCCTTTTTTCACCATAGCCTCTCCAGCATTTGTTATTGGTTGACTTTGTGTGTGTGTGTGTGTGTGTGTGTGTGTGTGTGTGTGGTAAGAGGGATTGAACTTGGAACCTTGTGCTTGCCAGGCAGGCACTTATGTCACTGAGTTATCTCCTGGCCCACTGGTTGACTTCTTGATGACAGCCATTCTTTCTGGGGTGAGATGGAATCTCATTGTTGTTTTAATTTGCATTTCTCAAATGACCAATGATGTTCAATATTTTTTCATGTATTTATCTGCCATTTATATTTCTTTATTCAAAAAGTGTATATTCATCTCAGATGCACATTTTTGGATTGGGTCTTTGACTTCTGGAGATGTGATTTTTAAAAAATTCTTTATATGGTTTAGATAGAAGGCCTTTATCTGAGGGAAAGTTGGCTAAATTTTTTTCCCCAATTTGTGAGTTTTCTCTTAACTCCGTTGGTGATTTCTTTTGATATGTAGAAATTTTTCAAAAAGATGAGATCTCAGTTGCTGATTCATTGTTGCAGTATTTCCCATGCAGTTTGGTTTTTGTTTATAAACTCTCTACTGACCTGTCTTTGAGATTTCTACCTCCCTTCTCCTCCAGTAGATTTAGTGTTTCTGTTTTAATGTTTAAATGTTTTATCCATTTTGACTTTATTTTAGTACACAGTAATAGATGTGGGTCTAATTTTAGTCTTCAGCATGTGGAAAGCCACTTTTCCCAGCACGAAAAAATTATTACAATTTGATTTTTGTTTCTAATG